GTGCAATAGGCAGAACAATAACATGTTTGCACTGCTCAATTGCTCCACAGTAAATTGCACAAAACAAATTTACTTAAAGGATATAGATCTCCCTTATTTTATCATCCTACTTTTTAATAGCTTCCCACTTGCCAGAAAAAAATATTCTCCTTTTCTTATACTAAATACTAAAATGTTGTCAAAAATAAAACAGGGAATTCATCTTTTCTAAGCACAGTTTTTGCACATTATTCAGTTTCAAGATCTAATGTTTTAACAACTAAGAGGAGAAAAAGTTACAAACAAGTAAACATTCTTAAATTGCATGAAACAAAATCTGTTAGAACTCAATGAAAATTTATAAGTTCCACAAGACCTACAATGCTTGTAACAATCACTTTATAGAACGAAAGTTGATTTTTTTAAAGAAATATCCAATTGTATGATTTTTTTTTCTCCCTCTGAAGTCCTTGGGCATTCTTGGATCAGGACTATTTCTTCTGTTAAGGATCTTAACATAAAATTACACCACGGACTAAAGTATTTTATGGTATTTAATCTATTTTGACTGATGAGAGATTAGTATTGCAATAGCATCTGTTTTTGTTATTCAAGACATACAAAAATATTGTATGACCAAGATCTACTCCTTATTCATTTTTTAAAATGTTACACTAGTAAATGTTTAAAATAAAAATTTAAGAGTTAGTAGTGCTTCTTTCTTAAGACTCCTTTCAATTCTCACTGAGAATATGGCACAGGATGAAAAAGAATACAACCTACTCCCTTAACTTCCTATTGAGCAGGCTGCTCAGTGGCTGGAAAATAAGAAGCGTTTTTGGAAGCAGAAGGAAATTTTTGATGGGAAAAATTCCTCATGTTCATCGACAGTTCAGAATGGGTTCCTCCTATCCTGGCAACTTACAAAAGCTAAAAGTAGTTATCTTACTGCAAGTAATTAAGGAGGAAAAGCTCCATGTTTAATTAAAGTCTGTAAATTCCAGATATCTAGAAATAGTATGGTTAAAAGCTCTTGTTAATTTTAAAGAAAAAAATGTACTAAATCTTTTAGTCAGCTAGCAAAATATATAAAAATTGTACCTGTGAATTGTTACTTACTACCTTCTGTTTCACTGCCAGTAATATGCAACCAGGCTCAACCATTGATGTAATCAGTTGATTCACTTCCCTAAACTTAACAAATTAACTGAACATTTCTAACCAAACAAGCTTCATAAAATTTCTGTTTTCAACCTTCTTATACCGTGTTCCCCCGAAAATACGACCTGTTCTGAAACTAACACCTTGCCACATTTTTCGCGTGGGCAAAAATATAAGCCCACCCCCGAAAATAAGCCCTTTGGACAACCCCCACTCCGGCCAGGCAGAGCACCGCTCACCGACCTAGTGGTATCCGAAGGCGCCAAGCCATGGGAGCTGGGGGGGGGGAAAGGTGCTGACGTTGCTTGGCACCTTTGGAATACCGCTAGGTTGGGGAGTGGCGTTCTGCCTGGCCGGAGGGGGGAAAATGCCAGGCGGCTGCTCCCTTGCGAGTGGGCTCCCGAAGAGCCGGGCACACCTCAGGGGCGAAGCAGCCATGAGGTGACCATGCTCATGAGCAGCCACCCGGAAAAACCCCTCTCCAGCCGGGCAGAGTGCCATTCACTGACCTAGGGGGTATCCCTAAGATGCTAAGCCACGTGGTGCTCTGCCCGCCCCCTAGCTCCTGCAGCTTGGCACATTAGGGATACCCCCTAGGTCAGTGCATGGAGATCTGCCTGGCTGGAGAGGGGGGTTGCGTGAGCACCTGTTCCGCCCCCAGCAAGCATGCCTCCCAGCCTCACCATGTCCTGGCCCAGCTCTCCCTGCAGGGCCAGGCTGCCGCCCCTGCCATGCTCCGATCATAACTTCTTCTCCGGCTTCCAAACTCCAAAACTCGGCTGCCGAGTCTTCCAGCAGTGGCCACTCTAGGACTGCGCTCTATGGTTGTGGGCTGGCTGCTGGACAGAGAGTCTTCTGGACAGAGAGCTTCCGGCAGCCAGCCAATAACCAGAGAGCGCACTTGTAGAGCGGCTTCTGCTGGAAGACTTGGCAGCTGAGTTTTGGAGTTTGGAAGAAGGAGAATAAGTTATGCTCAGATCATGGCAGCGGTGCCACCCTGGCCCTGCAGGGAGAACTAGGCCAGGGCATGGTGAGGCTGGGAGGCATGCTTGCTGGGGGTGGAACAGGTGCTTACGCAACTCCCCTCTCCAGCCTGGCAGAGCTCCATGCACTGACCTAGGGGGTATCCTGAATGTGTCAAGACATGGGAGCTGGGGAGCGGGCAGAGCGCCACATGCCTTGGCGCCTTAGGGATACCCCCTAGGTCAGTGCATGGAGCTCTGCCTGGTTGGAGACGGGGGTTGCCGAGCGGTTGCTCGTGAGCATGGTCTTTGGGAGCCAGTTCGCAAGGGAGCAGCTGCCTGACAACCCCAAAACAATAAGCCCTCCTCCTATAATAAGCCCAAGGCCATATTTCGTGGGGCAAAAGAAAATAAGACCCTGTCTTATTTTGGAGGAAACACAGTAGTATCTGCGTTAACATTTAAAAATAGCAAAAAATGTAGCACTTGTTAAATATAAGTACCTTCATCCATAAATAAAAATATATCTAAATATTTCAAAAATGGAAAGTTGCTAAACAATCTTGAATGAACGAGAGCCTTTAATGTTTCTTACTTTGTTTTTTTATATATAAGGTATATGGATGTTGTATTTCAGAATAATGTGCTTTTGGCAAGAGTCTTACGCTATGTGGCTAATTTATTTTAAAAAACATATTTTTTTATAAGGAAGCAGGATATAGAATGCAAATCAATTTCAAATTATTGAAATTCAATGTTTTGGCTTTTAATTGTAAAATGTTAGTTTGTTCATAATTTATTGATTTCTTGCATTTTCAAATTTTGCTAATATTTATTGTTAAGAAGCAACAGAAATGCTTATTCAGTATTACATATTACCAGCAATAGTAGAGATATTCTAACTTTATTTTGTACAAGAACTACATTAATCCTGGAACAACAGATTTTCTAATTATGCAGAAAACTTTCACTTACTTCATTAAGAAAGGAAATAACTATATGCATTTGGTATGGATATAGGTTTACCACATAATTTAAATAGTTTTATATGGTAGATAAAACTGGTTTTACAAATTAAGTTACAAACTAAGATAGTAGATTGTAAGAATGTGTGAAAAATATATTAATTAGCTAAACTTACTTTTTGGGCATGAACCCTGACTACATTCTAATTTCTGATTTTAGATGACCTCTGATTTTAGGACAGGAGACAGGCAAACAAATGCTCAATGTTCTGGTATTATGTTCAGAAATGTTTTCAAATTTGAGCAGCAGTCTGACATGAATTGCAAATTTTAACTGCTTACATAAATGAAATATAAATAGCAGTTATCCTTTACATTTATACAAGAAGATGAGGACAAGGTGCCCTTTTAATCAATTTAAGACAAAGTGCTGTCTTTTCCCATGTTGCAAGACAGAATACATTCAGAAGACTTTAAAAAAATGGAACAATCTCTCCTATATAAAAATAGTAACCCTTAAAAGAAAAATTAAAAACATCATGAATACAAGGAAATACATTCTTTACATTCTGTCCTGACATTTACACATTAGTGAATGCATAGACGAAAATGTGCAACTGGGCAATTTGTGGTGTTTTTCCCCTTATGGTGTTAGCATTCAGTCCTTGTGCATTTTAATTAATAAAGGAATGCCGATGATTAAAGGCACACTATTTGGATCCCTTTAGGATCACAATAATCGATTTTCCCAGTTTTGCTGAATATTCTTTTTATGATCTATGTATGCCCAGTACTATACCTAGAAACTGCATTTATTTCTCTTTTCTTTTACCTCTTTACTGGATTATGAACTATAAAACAATCTTTGTATATAAGGCAACATTCACCTGATGTCTCTTGCATTACCAACAAGCTCATCTACAATGAAGAATGTTTTCCTCCAATATAATGCTTTACTGTTTTATTCTGATATTAATTTTTATCACATAAATGACATCAATTGTTCTAGTCTAAAAGTAGAATACATCTTGCTCAACATCACCACTCTGTACTACCACAAGACACATGCACAAAAGACCAAAAGTGCTCTTCCAGAATGATAAGCAAAACAGATGTTTTGCAATCACAATCTTCACCAACATCTTGGTTCTCCCCTATTTCAAGGAGCAAAACATCACATTGCTTCATCTGGAAGTGCCTGATTTCCTGATACAACATGACTAGCATTTGGCTGCTTCTGAGGTATAATCTGAAACGCTTTGCAACAGAACTGACCAGCTACGGATTCAGGAAATCAGCATGAAACCAATAACGGGAGGGGGAGAGTCATTCTCTGGGAGAATCCAGTCATTAATTTTGCTGATTATTGATTGATAAGTCTCAGAGCATCCAAATATCAATTTAATAAAGGGTGGAGATACTGAGCTTAACTGGAAAAATGGAATTGTATTCTGTTCAAGTTTGTAGTTTTAGAGGGCAAACTACTTTTTTCAAGGGTAGTAATTTTTTTACTACCATATTCTTTTCGGGTCCTTTTTTAAAAAACACAGCTGAGAAACTGATAGTGGATACAGTATGAATGTGTGTGTATTCCTTCCTCCCAGAGGCATACAGAATGGAAACATCTATTCACAAAGTTTCCAATCAGGTAATTCACTTTGCTTTTCCGATATAAAATCAATGCTACTGGTTACCTCAATCATACACTACTTTCATTTGCAAAGATGTTGTTGACTGCACTACTGAATGTGCACATTTAAAAATGTCTATTTCTATATTCCATTCTTCTGAAAGACAACACTTCTCAGTAGTTGCTTTACATGTAACCCTCACTTTTGAATATAAATATTTTTTTTCCTGAAAAAAAAAAAACACTATTAATTGATTTGTGCTTGCCAGTTTCTGGCAAATTGTGCCTCTTTTTTCTCATTTAAAGATGCAAATAAATAATATCCAATATTAGAAATAATTACTATATTGAAATGTCTTTTAAAAACATGTGCCCAAACTCCGCATTCCACAAGCATATCCTTACATAACGCTCTTGAATAAACACATATTCAGTATTGCATCAGCTGGTGATTTTGCATGTGTGTGTTCCTTTCCTTAAAAGATACATTGAAAACTGTGCCTTTAGCTTTAAAATTCATGGGAATGATTCATGAACCACTGGGCTTACACTAAGACTGTTGCAAGTGCATGGATTGAAAAGGAGAAACAAAGGGCCCAAAATATTCTTTGGGATTTATCACAGAAATATCTAAATGAGCCAGAATTTCCTAACTCTACACATATATTACATGTTTATCTATTTACACAAAATCTAAATGACAGCATAAAAAGCACTTTGCAGAACACTCTTTTTTTATCATAGATATTTTGACATTCTTCAGGTTGGGCACACTTGAATAGAGCAGTTTTTTTATTATTATTTAAAAAAGGAATCCAAGAAGAATATCAGAAGAAATGTGATATAAATGTGTCGGATTTGTGACAGGAAAAATAATACTTTTCTACAAAAAAGGAAGTCCTGTTTATTGAGTCCTACTAATTTCTCATGATGTCACCTTCTTTTTCAGTGCAGACAGCTCTTTGTGAATCTCGCTGAATTTTGGTCTCATTTCAGGATTGTAATCCCAACACCGTTGCATTATTTTATAGATATCTTCTGGACACTTCTGAGGTGCTGACATTCGATAGCCTAGTATGTGTTTTTTAAAAGAGAAATTAGAAATGTAATCGAAGAGAAAGTACAATTTAAATTTAAATGATCAAACCTACTTAGAAACAACTCCTATACAATATGACTTATACATACATACCAGTGATGGGTTCCTAATTATTTGGATTGGTTCGGCCAAACCAGTAGTAGCTTGGCAGCCTGGGTCGCTGGAACCGGCAGCGATTTAGGTCTGCCATGCCCTTGAACCGGTTCTCCCGGCAGTGCTGTAGGTGTTTTTTGCTTCTGCATATGCACAGAGCAATTTTAATTGTACTAAGCATGCTCGCAAAGCGCATGTCACGTCTCTGAGTAAACCAGCAGTAGTCTCTGCCAGAACCCACCCCGATACATACATACATTTTTTTAAAAAAAATATTGAACAGGATCTTCTTTGTTGCAGTGCCTGCCCTCTGGAACAGCCTCCCCACTCAAGATTTTAGGGTTGCAACTGGCTGCTTTCCACAAAGCATCAAAGACTGGGATATTTCCCTGGTCTTGAGGCAAGATGACAGATGAGCCTGGTTTGGCAGTTTGGGATTTGTTGGGTTGTGGGCCCTGAGCATGATTTATATTTATACATGTTTTTTGCTATTTGTTTGGTATTTATTGGGGTTTATTATGTTAAATCATTAGGTAGCAGAATATTTTACATTGCACAGTGTAACTTGACCTAGTAGATAGCCATATGCTATAACCTAGATCTCTTTCTCAGGATAACCACCATGCCTGCTGGATTATTAAAAAAATTAAATTGTGATTATATATAGTGAGCAACCTAGAAGAAAATTTAAAAGGCAAAGAAAAGGGAGATGAAATTAAAACCTCTTTTCTAAAGCAGCTGATCTCAGTCAAAGGCTGTTTTCAGATCAAGATCCCTTGCACATATTTAGACTGGAAGACATTTACACAGCCCTGATCTCAGTCCACAACAAAACAAACCTTATAAATCGAGTGGCCTCACTTATGCTGCCTGGGTGTCCAGATTCAGTAGGTTGTTGATGGAGTTTCATTTTTATTTGGTTTACAGGCAAACCCCAACACCCCGAAGAAAAACCAGGAAGACAAAGAAAAAATGGAAATTCCCCTCCTCTTTTGTCTTAGAAAGAAAGCCACAGTCCCTAATTATCTTAGCAAGATTTTGTAAGTGGTTTGCCATTGCCTGCTTCCTAGGGAATGAGAGAAAGTGAGTGGCCCAAGGTCACCCAGCTTCGTTTTGCCCCTGAGGTGGTTCCTTCTGTTGCTCTTATTTAATAATATTTAGAAATATAAGTGTGTGTGCGTGCAATGGCATATGGGAGAAATGTAAGTCAGGTGCAGTGTTTCATATCTGAAGGCAAAACAGTGATTTGGACCAACTGTGATTGGGTGTGCAAATCACAGTTGCCTGCAACTCGTTAAACCAAATCCATCTTGACCTGGCGTCAATTTACAGCTACAGAATGCCATTGCCCAATCCTTATGGGAATAATGCTGTGGTTTCTAGGGGTAGAAAACAATGCTATGGAAGCACATCTAGAAGCATATTTTGGCCTGCATAATTGTTTTCAAGCTGCTGCACAGCCTTAATGTGCAGGTCATTTTTAAGAGCCAAAGTCCACTTCATCAAATAATGTCCAGTTGTTCTTCTGAAAACTTACTGATAGCTAAAGATTAGCCTTGTACAATGACTTTTATTGTAAGATGCTGATTATCTAATAATCAAATAGCAAAATGTATCATCTAGCATGAATACCTGCTGTATGATTTCAGCTATGCTGAATTATCTCCTGTTCGGTGTTAGAATGTCCGCATAATTTATAAAAGCCATACAAATAATCAGGTGGAATTACTTAATACATATTCATTACAAACACACACATGCAATTACCTTTCTCTACTTGTTCCCGTGCTTGCTGATTAGTCATGCCTGGATACGGGCATACGCCTAAGCTGAAAGTCTCCCAGAGGAAAATTCCATAGCTCCATATATCGCTCTCAGAGGTGTACCGTCCTATTGGATAAAGTGGTTACAAAAAGATGAAAAATGAAAATCCACACAGAAAAATAGGCAGGAAACAAAAGGGCCACCAGGCTGGGACCGCGGACCTTCAGAATTCTGCAGGATGATGTGGATTCTTCATGTCCAGAAGAGGCTCATGTTTTTTGGTTAATAATAATTATAAGTTCAATATTTATTTTGAACCTATCAATGTAGCCCTTTACAAGTTGTGCAGGCTTGTGCTGGATGACTTTTGTGATCCTTCCGACCAGGCATGAAATCCTTTTACCTTTGCTACTGGTTTGGAATCAGGAGCGCACACATGCGCGCGCTTCGCTCACAGTGCTTCTGCTCATGCACAGAGAGTCCGTGATAACATCTGGGCAGGTGGGCAGAGCCTCCTGCCACCGCCGCTACCTGTTCACCCAAACTGGGGCAAACTGGCAGAATAAGAATAGCACCTCTGCTTCTGAGTCTTTACTTCCATGATTCATAATCTTAACTGTATCCTTAATCCATGCCATTTCTCAGTGTTCATATACTAAAACAAACTTATGGTTTAAAATACCACTGCAAAATATTAAAATATTGACCCCAAAACAGTTTAAAACAATATTTTGCAATATTAAGTCAAAGCAGCAGGGAGCCATAGACAGGAAAGAGAAGTTTAAAAGTTCCTTTGGAAAGGAAAAATTCTTTATGCCAATCTTTATATCAACCTTTATCTCCCTGGTTATAGAAGATGTTATATTTAAATTGCTGGTACATCCAATAATTAAATAAAAAGAAGTCTTGTGTCTTACTCTTATTATGAATGTCAAGCTATTTAGCAATCTACTGCTTTCCGCTTCTAATCTCCATTTGTAGCCCTCTTCACTTTCCTTATTGGTTAGTTGACCCTCATAATCAAACATCTAGTAGCTCATTTCCTATTGCCAATAGCGTACTATGTGGGAAGTTGGGAAGAAGCAGGAGATTTGTTATTACCTTTTTTCTCCCAGCAACATTGTTTGTGGTGTACTAATTTGGGACTGCCAGTAATATGCAATGTTGACCAGAATTACTGCTACAGAGCAAGATCAGGCTTTTCGCTACACAAATCCCGCTTTTAATATCTGATTTCTTATAACTGGAACTAGAAAATCAGCAGATTAGGATAAAGAGGGGGACTGTAGAAGATATAATGGTAAGTATCCAGATGTGAAACAGGGTCTCACCAGGTAATAATAGATATCTCAAAATCTTACCAATTTTTTATTGGCAAAAAGGAATAAGCAAATTTGGTTAAATTTCCTAATCTTGGAAAATAGAGTTCAACTGTTAATCAAAGGTCACATACTTGTCAATATAGTTAAATGTTGCCCTGTAGGAAAAAGAATCATATACTACTTGAATCTCAAGTTAATATGGTTCTTTAATATTTAAAATGACTATAGCAAATATATAAATTAGCTATCCGGGTAATTTGTGAGATTTATTGCTCTAGTATCACCTCAGAAAAAATGATTATGGATTGTGTTCTACTGAAAATGTCCCTCTTGCATATTCCAAACATTTCTTGGTCAAATCTTATTAGAGAAAGATATGTCAAACCTGTCTTCATATCAAATTTGGTTTTTTGACAGTATTCTTCATGAAGGAATTTGCTCTCCAAAATAAGAAGCAATGATTATCCCCTTCTTTCATAGAAGAAATATGTTGAGTCACTATAATAAAGAAGACCAGCACTGCCGGAACAGCCTAGAATATACCTTCACAGCACTGACTGGTTGTATCTCACAAATAGCAGCTATTAAACCATTCAGTGTGATGGTGTCCAACCTGTGACTGGGTTAATGACTTCTGAGTTAAAAGAATTTTGAGAATGGAATGGAGATACTTGGGTCAGTTACCCAGTTGGTGCTAAAACTTTTATTCCCACTTCCGAGAAAAGGGGGAGAGAAAGTGATTGGCATGTGCAAATCCAAAACACCACCCCCAATTTATCAACTCTAACATAGGAATTATTTAAAAATACATATTTTTGCATGTCAAAACTGTTTGCCACTCATTTCTTATTTTGTATTTTTAGGAAGCAGTACCCTGGGTAAGAATTGAAAGAAACATTTGAAAATATTATGTATAGAATTTGCCATTTAAATGCACATTTTATTTCATATCTGCATTACTGAAATCTTATTCACAATACTTGGAAAGTTATTTTTGTGACATTTGGAATAAAACACTGTCTCCAGTCCAACAGCAATTTTTCATAGTTGCATAAAAGCTCTTGGCAAATAGTTATGCTCTCATTTTTCAGCATAGCTTTCTCAATTTTCTATGGCCTTAATGCATACCGTTAAAAGTTTTAGCACCACCTTCCTTTGAAGGTTCCTGTGTAGTAGCTTTCCATTGGGTGTTTCACGGTTGCTATGTTTGAGATTTTTGGAAATTTAAGTACAGGTTGAGGAAGGTTGTCATATACTGAGAAAGGTAATTAATTTTGTATAACTTTCTTTTTCTTAACAAAACAGTAGTTTCTAATTGACATTCCTAAATATTTAAACTAAAACATGCTTTGCTATTATATGTTAAGTCCCAAAGGAAAAGAGATGCAGACTTAGACACATAATCGCATTTCTAGCAGCACAGTGAATGCTCATAATTGCTCTCCACCTACCAGGTAGCCTAATTTAAAACAGCATGAGATGCTTAAATGCAAATAGAACATTGAGAGTCGGAACAATGAATATAACTTTGACCATCAGTGTCAATTACGTGTATTTCATTTATACTGGTGTATCATAGATTTAAATTGTAAGTTAAATATTTAGCAATTGGAAATTCCTAAAAAAAAAAAAAAAACCCTGCAAACTGAGAGGTCATTTTCAAAAACAGTTATAAATTACTGAACCTTTCTCATGATAATTACTTCCATCCATTTCTTCTTTGCTATTTCTGAAAACTTTAAAATTCCATGCAGAAAAATTAATGATCTTGGTTACTGTTCCAGCAGGCCATCTATCCTAATCATCTTATGAATACTTTCAGCTGATAAAAAACACATGGGGTACACAAAATTCCCAAGCTTCAGAACCTGAAGGATTCCATTTTCAAAATAATGCAAGGAAATAATATGATTCTGTGGCCATCAAACTCCTAACCAGTAGCTGTGTGGCTTTTGTGTCAAACACAGGCATACTGGTGAGTGTCAGGAGCTATCATTGTTACCATCATTTCTAATACAGATCCCCTGAAAGATCATGTGACTCTCCTCCTCTCTTACTATGAGGCTATCTATGGGATACTATCTCTTGCCTGCCACAGCCAGGGGGAGGACTCAACCCCCCCTAACTCTCACTTCCTTGGGCTAAATTAAGGGGCCAGGGACTAGGGAGTGGAGACCCCCAAAGGAGGGGCCCTTCCTGTCATAACACTCTGCTGCCACTTTCAATCTCTTATACCAGCTCTGCTTTTTCCGCTCTTGGCTGAATCACCAACTGCCCATATTCCTGCCTCGTTTCCTTGCAAACTGAATCCATGAGGTCAGGCAAGTAATGAAAAATGAGCAACATTTGGTGGGGCTACAGACACTGAAGACAGTATCTTTAGACAACCATTATCCCATTGCCTAAACTAACGCCCCTTCCCACTGCTTGGTGGTGGACCCAATTATTTGTGGACCCAGCATCAGCACCAAGTCAGACATTTTTCTCTTTCCATCTCAGTTCCTGCCTGCCATACCTAGAAAGGAGGAGAATGTTTAGAGAAATAGATCCTATTTGAGAGGTAAATACATGTGAGCAAGTATGTTGTCAGAGGCGATTTGGTTGACATGTATTTGGATTTTCCAAAAACTTTTTGGCAAACTACCTCATCAAAGAATACCAAATAAATTTAATAGCTTTCCAGAGTTGCTTTGGATAGTGAGATGGGAAGCATATACATTTAATAAACAAACAATAATTGCAGTTTAGGACAGACCTCGGGATAAATAATTACTTAAAATTAAGAAAAACACAGGCTAAGAAAATATAGACCCTACAGTATTACTTCTAGAACAAGGAAATAATTGAGTGGTTGGTTTAGTTGTTACATTCTGTGTAGCTGAAATGAAGGTAATTTTTACAGCCATTTGGTAGAAGTACAGAGAAAGCAAAATAGTAAAAATAAAACAAAAATGGTAAAAATAAGAAATTGTATGTTTCTTTCGCTAAATAAAAATGTAATTCTAAAAATAAAAATAAGAGTGGGAAGTATTTCGTGTCTAGCACTTATTTCCAGATACATCTTTAATTCCAAGCTCAGTTTCCAGGAGTCTTCTATTTTGAAAGTTTCCAAAGTTGTCCTAGTTTACAAATCTCATCGCTTAGGAATTCATCAGCAATATCAATGGCTGTAAAAGGCAGGGGCTCAAACCCTGGGATTTCATTGGGTTTCAAATTATTGAAAGTTTACGGGTTTCAATTCCAAGGGCAGTTACCGTATTTTTCAGAGTATAAGACGCACCAGAGTATAAGGTTTTGAAGAGGCAATTTTTTTTTAAAAAGTAGGTAGGTAGATAGAGGGATAGAGAGGGAGAGAAAGAGAGAGAAATACAGTAGGGAAGGAGGGATTGTAGATAGGTAGGTAGGTAGAGGGATGGAGAGAGAGNCAGGCTCAACCATTGATGTAATCAGTTGATTCACTTCCCTAAACTTAACAAATTAACTGAACATTTCTAACCAAACAAGCTTCATAAAATTTCTGTTTTCAACCTTCTTATACCGTGTTCCCCCGAAAATACGACCTGTTCTGAAACTAACACCTTGCCACATTTTTCGCGTGGGCAAAAATATAAGCCCACCCCCGAAAATAAGCCCTTTGGACAACCCCCACTCCGGCCAGGCAGAGCACCGCTCACCGACCTAGTGGTATCCGAAGGCGCCAAGCCATGGGAGCTGGGGGGGGGGGAAAGGTGCTGACGTTGCTTGGCACCTTTGGAATACCGCTAGGTTGGGGAGTGGCGTTCTGCCTGGCCGGAGGGGGGAAAA